ATAAAATATGGGACCATTAAATTTTTACGTGCCCCATAAAGCGAAATTATACGACCAATCTGTTAGTAAAACGGCCGGATTTTGGAATAGAGAATTAAGATGTGCTTTAAAGAAATTTTAATTGTTTTTGTGTGTCATGTCATTTTACGTGAAAGGTTAACAAAGTCAAAGTCAAAATCATTTATTTCAATTAGACCAGAAAGGCACTTTTAAACGTCAACAAAAAAATTAATAGTAAAGCTATTTGCTCATTTCAAGGTGTAGATTCCTATGGAGAAGAACGAAGAAGAAACTCCATAGGTTACTCTTTTTCAATCAGGTTCACAATACAATTCTCTAGTTACATAGTTCTGTTGTTTGGATTGTGCGAGAACAATGTAATACTAAAATCCATTCAAGGAGATTAAAAAAAATTAACTTTAGATGACAGTCAAAAATACAGTCTGGAGCTGACCAGTCCCGGTTGACGGCGTTCACGAACATGACACGTACTCCAGCACCGACCATTATTTTCAACCTTGCCCCACACTAGTATTTTCTCATGTGTCGTGGGTGCGTTTACAAACATATAAGCTCAACCAAATTGCAGGTAATCGAGCGAACCACTGCACGTGCCACCGCCAATGAGACCTTTGAGTGAGCATGACAACTCCACGCTGACACAAATGTATTCTACTAGTCTAATTTAATATTTAGTTAATTATGCTTGTCTACATAATTTTTTTAAACATAATTTAAATTTGTGTGTCCCCTGGTATCTATTTAACACAGAATCCCATGAGCGACTACTTACTTTCGCCAATCTCAAAGTTGGCTGACTTAATCTATCCTTACGTCTAGTTTGACAGTGGTATCTTTTTTTGTTATTTAAGACCCTAATGTTACCTATGTTCACAATTAAATAAATGAATAAATGAATTAATGAATCTGTACGACACTTTAACATGGAACGGTCATAATATTGATCTCCTTAAACTTTTCTCTGAGAGATTCGCGACGACCTAGATTGTAGATACCTCTGACCTTGTATTTTATCAAGCAATATTTAACATTCAACAGCATAATTTTTTGATGCTGCTGGCTAACTGCTATGCAGTGTAACAGACGCTAATTTTGTTAAAATTGTCGGGTTTATAATTAAATAACAACATATCTTGGTCTCGCCTCATACATACTGCAAATTCAAAGGTTAGTTTAGACTGGTTTTACATAGCTTAATGTATAGGCATGTACAAGAAAAGCTATTTTATTAAGGTGTTAATTATTACTACTTAATTGGCCAGAATGCCTACCGGACGGACGGCTTAGCTCGCCGTTAACATCGCCGCTTATGGGCTTCAACTACTCGAACAACTGTCGAGGGCACATCGCAGACTCGGCTGCGTCATTATCAATATTATATTTAAATAATTACTACAACTCAGTATGGGAAAGCCATGCTTCAGCACGAATGGGCCGGCTCAACCGGAGTGATTCACAAAAAAACCGACGTGAAACAACGCTTGCGTTGTGTTTCGTCATGTGAGTAAAGTTACCGGAGGCATTACCCCACCCGCTTCCCCAATTCCTAAATCTCCAACAATCCTCAAATGCACTTGTAACGCCTCTGGTGTTCCAGGTGTCCATGAGCGATGCCGATGGCCTACCATCAGGTGATCCACCTCCTCGTTTACCGACTGACCCCATAAAAAAAAACTCGAGCCGTGTACCTGTATTTAAATTAATTTAGAATATTTAAAATGTATATTTCAGTTACAAAAGTTGGCTAGACTTCTTATCTTCTTTAGGCCGTAGTAATAAATACGAGGATTTTAACGAAGTTTTCTTACTTAAATTATTATAAGAATGATAAGAAGTTTTTAAATATTCTACTAACCCTTTACACTGTACAGTGAAACTTGGAGAGGAGTTGGACGTGAAATTTTAATTCAGTGGTTACTGGAGTCGTATTTTAAAACTGGTTCATTGGCCTAGCGGTTGCAAGTACGGTCGCCATACAAGGAGTCTCTGGTATTGGACAAAGAGGGATTTTGGATTTTCGTACATAACATCACGCCTCTCATCCCCGAAGGGGTAGACAGAGGTGCACATAACACATTATGCCACTGTACAATGTAAGACCCCCTTTTTGCTATTTATGTTATGAGTCCTATGTAATAAGAGGTGAGCCTATTGCCATATACTTACCGGAGACAATTTCACACTCCATGCTACTACTGAGAATATTTTTTAAACAATCCCCTTGCCCGGCAGGATTTTCGTAAATTCGCAATATTACTTATTCTGCTACTTGGCCCTGTATTTGGCAATGTGTACCCCTATTCTTTTAAAATCATATTAATAACCACTCATTCGGCCAACGAGTATTAGGTATGAATATTAAGTTATTAAATATGTGTAGAAATGAAACGACCGTAGATGGTAACGAACTGTCAAATTTTTATTTTATGCATAGATTAAACATAATATAGTACCCAAAGCCTCTACTAGATGGCACCACATTTATATTTATTTTGTTAGAATACGACAATATGTATAAATATATCTTGTCTCATCATTAAGTTTGTTTGTTTATATTTGATGGGCCGACGTTTGACCGCTATCCAGCCTGATGGTAAGTGATGATGCGGTGTACAACGGATCACGACGTCCCAAATTGCAACCTATTCACTCGGGTCTAAGTTAGACTCTCACCTAAGTAGAATCCCCATTATGTTCAGTCAGTATAGCGTTGTATGAAAACAGGGTTAAATAAATAAAACACAAAATATAATCAGCAGTAATATTTTTAAATTGCTTTGAATCACAATTTTGTAGTGTTTATAGATTATAATAATTACAAAGGAAGATTATTTTTTGTTCAAAGTACACTTATCCAACAGCTCGTCGTCATACATTCATGTCCATCATCTCAGAAATATTTTACAATAAGATAAACAATTACATTTTTTGTTTAATTACTTTAAATAATTATTATAATAATTACAAATAAACAAAACTTAACAAATTCAACTAACAATTTTACATAATAAAACTAATAATGCAATTGTATTAAAATTATAACCTCTAGTAATTATTATTATAAATTAAAATGTAAATCTATTATTTAATTTGAAAAAAGAAACGTTGAAATCATTACACATTATTATATTGAATACATTCATATTTAAATAAGTATACGATTAATTACGATTATAAATACTTAGGAACAATATTGTTTATTTACAGTTCACATAAAAACCTACAATAAAAATAAAACGTAATAACGAAAAAGATACAAATTAAAATGAATAAAACATGACAATTCAAAACAGACATTTTTCATAAGTTTTCCACAAATTATTTACAACTCATTTTTATAATTCATTACCTATTTAAAATAGATGTCGAAAATACACTCCACGTAATTACTTTAAATCCAATTATTACAATTCAATATTCAATGTTTCGTTTAAGAAAGATGAACTATAAAACAGAGATTCCAAGTTGTTCAATCGGACAGTCGTCATTCATACGTCCCTTCATATTATTGGTGTTTTAGAAACCTTGAAACTGGCAGTACATGACAATCTCTTACAATAACTTGCTAAAGAAAAACTTACGTACAACGCTTAAGATTGCATATTAATTAAAAAATTAAATAACATCATAAAATTCGCTATCAAATGCCTTGTTCTATATAAATTTGTTTGTAAAGCAATAACTCTAATGGCTAGCTATAAAAATATAGGATTGTAATGATTTATGAAAAATTAAATTATTTATTTACTATTATAAAATGTCTAAGGCTTAGGTAACTAAACATTTATGGCAGATTTGACTACTGTATTGACTAAATCAGGCACTATTGCTTTGAGTAATAATCAAACTTATAGATAAGAGCCTTATACTGCTCATTCTTCGTAACTTTTGGCTAAAGTTTAAGAAAAAACATATTGAATTACACTCTATGTTGCACGTCAAAACATTACAACCCTAGTACAAGGATTTAGCAACTATAATAAATATTAATAGTAAATAAAGTTCTAGTGATCTAGCATTTTATGAAACAAAATGTAACTAATATCAACCGCGAGTGTCGAGAACGTCAAAGTTATAATTAAGTATCTAAGTGATATGCAATATACTTTAGGCAGGCTTCATTTTGATTAAAAAATAATTTATCGTCATTACAAAGAGGTGATCGATTAGTTTTAGCCATTCATTGTGAACAAGTTCGTGTATCTCTTCGAAATTAAAAACAAACATCTTTCTTTTAAAAAAATGAAGGTTGAATTGACTAAAACTAAGATATTTCCCCTCTAAAAAAGTATACGCAAGCTACCGCGAATAATTTCACTATAAGAAAATTGCTTAATCAACAAACATTTAACTTAGAACTACATAAAAATCATAGACGCTAAAAATCAATGCATTTTTGCAAGTTTTATCACATTTTCGTCAAAAGAAACGTGCCTACGGCATAATAAAGCTCAACTATTTACGGCCCACCCTAAAAGATAAAAGAAATCCAATCATATTCTCACTAATATCTCATTCCAGTACCAATTTCAGTTAGTAACAATTTCTATCGTTTAGTCTTAGGAATACCTACTAAATATTATTATGAAGTTAAAATGTGTGAACAAGCTTCTTATAATATAATAATAAAAAGTATTAGTTAAACTTTTAGTTTTAAATTCTATGTATAGATTTCAAGTTTTTTTTATTTCATATAATAGTAATTTATCTAACTATATCTACTTCTAGTGCACTATCTTTTAGCTGTGGTCAATTACTAAGCCTCGCCGCAAGTGTGCCTTCTTCACTGCCTTCGAAAAGTTTATTGCTTTCGTTATCTTTCATAAATAAAAGAAATAAAACTTCAAATTAACTAATTAAATTAAAGAGTTTGTCTTACAGTCTTTTTTACAAAAATCAATTCATTTTTTTTTCTGTTTTTATGTAATTGACATTTATTTTATAAAAAATATAACACAATTATTGTTTTGGTAATTTTTTTTGTAAATTTTTGGCATTTTTCCAAACAATATTCACGTCGTAATAAAATAAAATGGAAGATAGTAAAAAAGACACAGTCTTCGGTGGCACTAAGAAGCGTCTATATTTCAACTGTACTGTGACGACCGCGTGGATATTAAAATACACTTTCTTTACAAATCGGAGTTTATTTCACCACAAAAATATTATTGCTTTCAGAGGTTCCGCGTTACAGAGAAAAATATTTTTTTTTACTTATTTTTTCATATCTCCAACCGTTTCGCATTTTAATAACATTATCAGCGCTCCAGAAGCAATCGTGCACGCTATCTAAAAATATAGGTATACGCATGACCACTAGCTAAACGAACTATTTGTTCGAAAATTAAGACAGAAATGATAGAATAACGTTTATGGAAAATTAATACATCAAAACTTTTGGCGCAATACATCTCGAAATACTGGTATCGTACCCGCCATTACTACATATACATATATAAATATAACATCTTAAAATTAGCGATCCAAAAATATGAAATATACGTGTTGTATTAGTGCGCCCCCGGCCGGACCGCGCTCGCGAGCTACGCGTCGATGTCACGCTGTGTGCAAACTCGCGATATTTGCGACTTCTGCCGTTCGCTACCGGAGGGTGCAAAAGCCGCCACAACTGGACGGTTTTTCTCAATCCTCGTCGCGTGTTTATTTTTCTTCTAATCGAAAAAACGTTGGTACATTCCTAACAAAACACCGCTTGATATTAAACGGATATTTGAATTTGTTACGAATCCACCAACCTTTTTTACCTACTTTTTCAACTCTGGGCCTCTCAAAATCTAAATAAACAGGAATATATCGGAATGTACGAACAGTTTGAAAATTATGTCGAGAGAAGGAAATTTTTTTAAAACGAACCAAGTCATAGATCTAGTGAAAATAATACAACAGAATGTAACGAGGAAAGTTAAACAAGATAGTTGTTTGAAGTAAGTAAGATAACACAAAGTACCAGGGCCCTGCTCAAGCAAAGCGTCCTTATTCGTTCGAAACTTTTGCTTTATAAAAATACGAATCGAAAATATCTCGACTGTAGCACGTCTTCTTATGGTTAAGCTATGATTATTCTATTATTTCTTATACTATAAAACTTTACTATTTTTACTACGTTAAAATATCAGAGAATTCAGAAAAAGGGAATATTTAGGTTTTTATTTTCTATATTTAAGTGGTGCACAACCTTATTTCTTCATGAACGCTAGGTAAGTATGGCGTTAGCATAACGAGGATCTAAAAACAAAAGTTCACTATCTAAAGAACTAATTATAGATGTAGGTACTTGATGAAAATTCATATTAGGGATCCGCACTTATTGGAATAGGAACTAGGGAAGGAGGAACACGAAATCAACGAGATAGGTTGGAAAGAAGACGAAGATAACTAATAGAAAACGATAGTTTGATAAAACGGTCGAAGGTCCTTGACAACGTTAGATCTAATCTAAAGGGAGTCTCGAAGATAGATCATGTTCGATGATATCTAAGGCTTCACTTCACTGCATAGACTAAAAGAATTAAAACTATTTAGGCTGGAATGAAACCTATTGTTTAAACTTTCGACCGAAACTAACTGCGTAATTACTTTTATTTCTCTTAAATACGATAAAATCTCAAAATACTCACAGCTCGTCGGGTTTATTGTATTATACGCTAAGTGCATCTACTTTATAAGAACAGTGGCTTTTAATAATTTGAATTTGTACTTAACCTACATATTTTACTAACTCCATTGCTGAAATTATTCATAGAATAGAATTCAAGTTTTGACTCGATCTACTAAAGTCCAAAGCAAACAAACTAAAACTTATCATTGAAATTCATCATCAAATCTTTTGCAATTGACATGAACTGTCAAAAGCGAAATGTCGCGTACAACTTTTGAAGAATTTTCGGTAGATTTTTGAAAGAAATGCGTCGAATCTTACGATATTGTTCAGCCAATACGTATGGTGATCTAGGTTTTAATTACTTTACATGCAATTTAGAGTTTTCAAAAATATGATTCCAATAAATGTTCTAAACGAATATCTCAAAAATACATTATGAAAATATAATACAAATACGATAAAATTTATACTAAATATAACCCTGTCTATGACCTGAAGAGTTTAAAATAAAGAATAAATCGAAATCTAAACTCTGAACAAGTCATTTCTAAGGAAAAACATAATAACTTCCTAGAGTCACACGCTTTGCTATAATCCGTTAATATAACGCAGATGGCGCTGCGAAGAAAATGATTGAGAACGAATGAACAGTCGATATCGAAAATCCGTTCAATCACATCAATAAATTGTAATTCCGAATCATAACGTGGTTAAGATAAAAAGAAGAACTAAATCGGAAAGTGATAGGTATTAGTCAAAACTTTTTGTTTCTACAATTAAGTAATACGTTTACAAAAGAATGAAAACATTTCAAATAGACAAGGCCTGATTCAGTTCACAACTCCGATAAAAAACCTGTTTCGTAAAGTGCGTCGTGTCAGAAAGTCAATGAATATGTGAATGGCAGTCGGCGTTAACGCGTAGAAGTACTCGATGTAAAACAATCACAACATACAAATTGAACAGAATATTTCGACTTGTAACAAAATTATGATGAAAAGAATCCTTCCATTGATATTGCAATGGAATTGAACATCGTTTTGGGAATGTATTGTGTCCGTAGAATAACTGCCGTTGTTAGATTTTGAACAGAAGTTCAAGTAGAAGATCTTCGTCCACGTTCATTGGTGATTCAGGGGCTAGGTAGTCAACGATCCTAGAAAATTAAATCTATATTAGGCATCTCTAAGTAATGTTGATAGTTGTTATTATATATCAGTATATTTGTACATCATCATAGAGGTAATTATCAACATTGATACCCGTTTCACAAACCATCTCTTAACTAAAAGTTACTTTTCGTATTTTTGCACCTAAACTACCCCCTTCCTTATATTGTTAAGTGTCACTTACTGATTGGAAAACAGAAAAGTTAAATGTTACCTTAGTTTATGGGTTTCTTAAAATTAAGGAAAGATTGGTGAAAACGGGTCTTCATAGTGTTTTAAGATATTTAACCCTAAACTAAAAAGTAGAATTGAAGTGAACCTATTGAATTATATTGTTGTATCTCAGTAGTCTCTGTAAAGAAATCTCAGTAGTAGCACGGAGTCTGGAAATGTGCCCGCTATATGGCAAAAGGCTCACCCCCTATTACATGGGATTCATAACATAAATAGTGAAAAGTGGGTGTTACCTCTGCGTACACCTCTGCCTACCCCTTCGGGGACAAAAGGCGTAATGTTATGTTATGTTATATTGTTGTATTTGTAAATACCTATTGGGCGTGGGTGGTGTATTGGTGATGCGCTGCAGCGAGTTTTGGCGGACATCCGGCGATCGCCGGACCCCCCTCACGCTTTCGGCTCGTGCGTTCTGCAACCTGTCACAAAAATCAAAGAAACTTAAATAACATTAACTAAATAATTAACAGATAATAATACAATACAATACAGGGTAAGATGGTGCCAAAACTCTAAATGGTATTTCAATGTTCACTAATAAAACTTACGTTCGTAGTAAATTCCTCCCAAGTGCTGTGCAGCGTGAAAATAGTTTTGGGAATATTAAATAAAATTTAATCGCAATTGATAATATATAAAAGTATTGCATCGAAGAACAAATATCCGAACAGAATTTCGAAATATCAAATCATACAGCTCCTGTCGATCATACGATAGTAACAAATCCCCAACAGACAAAAATAATGACAGAATTAAACAATATACAAATTCAAAGAACATATTTCCACCATCCAAAGCAGAGATTCTCAAAACTGAAATAAACAAGCATAGACAAAAACCGTCGTTTAATTTAATAAAACAACAAGTACGAAAGTTTAACAAAATCATGGTCTAAAGATTTTCTTATCGAAGGCAAGAAACAAACTCAGCTACAGTTGATTTATCTATTCGCCACAGATACAGAAGTTTGGAGAAAAGCTAAAATGTTTCATTCATAAAGTAGGGAACTGATGCTGGCTTAGATTACTTGGAAGGGATCGAGAACGAGCCAGTAGCCAAAATTAATTTAGCATTGACTCGGACGGAACGGACGAATAAAGGTCTTAATTGTTCGAAATATTCGATGAATCCCTCTTTGTTTGCCTCGTTTCGAAGCGAAAATGAATTTATACCTTTTTTATTATTAACAAGACGATTTATCTTGTTCGTTTTCCTTTTCTTTTGTAATTTTTAAACTCCTTTGTTTCAAACTTTCTAATTGTTGACTCGTAAACGGTAAATAATATTTTATAGATAGATTTTTTAATAACATATACATATACGTATCTTTGATAAAATCAGACAACACCTAATAGTATAAAACTGAATCAATGTACTCATAATTTCAAATTTAATTAAAACTAGATGTAGCCGCATCTGCGTTTTTCTAAAATAAATTACCCTATGTTACTCCTCAATATATTAGCTATCTGCCAATTAAAGTCCCGTCAAAATCAGTCCCGTCTTTTCAGAGATTAGCCAGTATAAACAGGCAGACAGACAAAAATTGTAAAAAAGTGTTATATTTGTGTATCGTATAAATATTCATATGCATGTAGTAAAATGCGGTTGTTTCATTATTTCAAAAAGACACTCCAATTTCATTTATCTTTATATATACTATAAATACAAAGGAATCTGGAAAATATAAAATAAATACTGCTTCGAATTTTTGAACTTATACTTGAATCGATATTTGTTTCTTCCGCTTTTAATAATAAATTAACATCATCAAACACAAAAGATATTATCCAACCAACCAACTCTTGTAAATCTTTAACTTTTTTATTAAAACTTCTCGAAGTTTCAAGTCGAGAAGTTGTTACTTGAAACAATCTCCACCGTTCGTTAGAAACAGATATTTTATTTGAAATTCGACAATTTCACAAAATAAGTTCACAATTTTATATGAAAATAATGTGTTAATATTATTTCCTCTTTCAAATATTAATTCTGACCTTTTCAACAAAGTATGTTTAGACAACGATGTCGGGGTCCGGAAACAAATATTTGATAAAGATTTGGTTTTCTGTTAATTCATGGACGATTTCTTTTTGTATAAATAATGAGACGCTTTTTGGTTTAAAAAATGTCGCTCTTTCCTTAAATTATTGCGGGATTAGGTACTGTTTTGCGTTATAATAAATTATTTGAAATGAAGTAAGTATAAAAATGTTATGTACGTTTTTATATTACCTACACAATTTTTTTTAATCATCGAAAATGGGGCGAAAATCATCGATTTACCTACTGCTCCCGCCCGGATGAGGCGGGAGGGAGTGTCAGACTCTCACTGACTAAAAACCACCCCGTTCCTTCTCCTTGCGCTTCGAGCCGGAGCCCCGGTAACCCCGTTATGTTCTTCGAGACTATATTACATAATAGATCATGTATTTCTAAAAATATACGTCCACATAATATGATCCATTTCATACTTTGCATAGTTGAGTGTGTTTCAAGAAAACATCACATAAAACATCAAAAGCCTATAAATGGTTACTGCTGACCAAAGACCGCTTCTCACATTGAGAAAGTTTGAGCATTAATCACCACGATTGCTCAATGCGGATTGGCGATTTCAAACTTATGATTAGAAATTATAAGCCCAGGTTTCCTCACGATGTTTTTCCTTCCCCATTTGTCAGTGGTGTCTAAATAATCTTAGAAAGTACATATAACTCGGAAAAAATCACATTGGTACTTTGCTGTTGGTAGGTTTCGGACTCGCGCCCTCGTCCATGACAAGCATCTTAAACCTCCGGGCAATGAGACGAGAAAACATAATTAAATGTTTTGATATTAACACTTTGCTTTGATAATATTTTAAAACTTACTTTTCACTAAAGTACAAACAGAATTCCAATGTTCGCAGTATCTTAATTAAAGTCCTAGACACATACGAACACAATACGTTTCCTAACACAAAACGAAAACAAAAGACTCCCAAAACGCATACATTTATAATTTAAAAAGCTATTAACCTAACCTAATATAAAAGAAACCACACGTCGTTTCTGACAAAAGAAAATTAGCTAAAGTCCCTAAACCCCGGAAAACATCAAGGATAATAAGACAAATACAATTATATAACATATACATTTTGTCCGGGTATACAGACATGGGGTAAATTAAGGCTCTGGCTATTTTTATAGACTGACTTTTTATGAGTATCACAGGAACTGGGTTCAGAAAGTAACATGCTAAATAAGAAAGATTTGGTTGTAACTTAATAAGAAAAAACTTATGTTCTTATTTATTTATTCTTTTATGTACAAAATTTTATTATGGTACATATGGAGAACTTAATGCCATATGGCATTCTCTACCATCTTCATTCTTATTAGGGTGTTTGACAGTTTAAATAAAAGAAAATTAACAATTAAATTTTCTTTTATTTAATACGTTTACAAAAAACTTAAAGCCCCTCTTTTTTTTAAATTCAGTTAATTTATATACCAACATCTTCTCCTAAGTATTACGAACACTTTTCTGAAAACTGAATCAATTAGCGTTCAGCCAATCGCCAGATAATCACGCACATACATACAGGTCAAACACAGAACCTCCTTTTTTTCCTTTTGAAGTCAGATAGAAAGGTATTTCTTTCTATAAAGTAGGTGTGAGTAAAATTACCTAACGGTAATTTACCTTTTTTAAGGGGGAAAAATCATCGAATGACTTCTAAGATGAGACGGGAGGGAGTGTCAGACTGACTAAAATCCACCCCGTTCCTACTCCTGCACTTCGAGCCGGAGCCCCGGCAACCCCGTTAGGTTCTCCGCGACTCCGAACGGTAATTTACATAACGGTATTAATTTTGTTAAGTTGGTTTGCCAAGCAGAGAGTATCGGGTTTTTCCCAGGTCAGTCATTCAAATTGTTTTCAAATTATGTATTATCTCAAAAATTACAATTCTTATATAGATAATCCGTTCTGTTCTCATTATACGATTTACTAAAGCACACTCAACCACTCACCGTATATACCAAATATGTATAAAATTGTAACAAACAAAACATAAAGAAATATTATTTCGCAAAAATTATATTATTCTCAATCCGCAAAATATATAATTTTGTTCTTTAGAGTCTCGAATTGTTTACCCGGAACTAATATACCGACCCCATTATACCGCAGCGGAAAGGCAAAGGCCCTTTGAATATGAATATAAAAATATGATGTATATTTTACGGAAGGAAAATCTACGAACCGTATTGGTTGGCTTCATAATTGTGAGGGAAGATAGTTTTGTACTGTTAGTTAAGATTGTATATCATTCTTTTATACCTTAATATTTTGAACATATGTTATTACACTGTTGAAAGCTGGACAGTGCACATAGCATAAAATATTAATTTATTGTCATCAGATATAACAGAATGTGAATAATTTCGCATTTGTGTAAGCCAACTTCACAAAGAAGCATTTTTGAGTTTGGCAATTTTTAGAAAACTGGAGGGTGAAAGTGGCTACTTGACTTCGATGACGCGGGCGAAGGCGCGTTCGGAATGCTAATAGGTAAAACAGTAGGTACTAATTTATAATGATGGAATCCAAATGATGTCATTTAGCATTAACCTCTAGTATGTCGTAGCGTAGATCTACGTAAGACACAATGCGTTTTCTATTGTGTCTCTTTTATGGACAGACAGGAAGTCAAGTTACTATTTTGCTTCTTAATCTACCAGAACATACAATTCAAATAACAATTGGGTTGATGACAGGGTATGAAAATTAAATATAAAAATAAAATTAGTCCGTAAGTTAGGTAATGAAAAAATATAAGACACTTTTTTTTATTATTTTGTCGTATAATAAAACAATACTTAAATCAAACGAATCAAAGTTTAGAAATGGGGGCCAAAACGTCATTTCTACGTATAAAATGTACATAGAAGCGACGTCACGTGACATTTCAAATCAATATATCGTCGAAAGTATTCGTTTCTGTAAGAAAAAACGAAATACGTGTTTGATGGTTTAAAATAATCTACCAGACGGACATTGAAATAAAAATTAGGCATTTACCCTATTCCAATCAATTTTATCAATCACTACAACAACTTAAGAATCAAAACATTGGAAAGGAGAAAACTACCTAACGAAGGACCTTACTATAAAAGACAAAAAAAACCTAATCAAAATCAACAACTATTTAAATAAGTACTTCAAAGATCAACTACCTACTTTCAACACAATGAACGATTATTTAATCAAAGAAGTAATAAAAAAAGGTACGTGTCTTTTACAAGCCATAGACTAGACGACGCTGTTGCAAAAAAAAAATTTGATCTGTGGTATTTTGTAAATACTATTAAAATAGACACAATCCACTTACTTGATCTTGGACTGCCTCATAAACTGTTGAATCTTCCTCGCTGCCTGATTCTGACGCCTCTGTGAGTATGTCCTCCTACTCAAGCAAAATAACACTCGATTAATTTTTGGGGTATATTTGTCTGATTAACTTGCTGTTAACAGATAATTTATTTCGAAGGTAAAAAATTCGACTGCCTCGTTGGCCGAGTGGTCGCAAGTGTGACTGCCGGCCAAGGGGTCTCGGGTTCGATTCCCGGATCGGGCAACGTACTACTGGGTTTTTAAAAATATCTCAGTAGTAGCACGGAGTCTGGAACTGTGTCCGTTATATGGCAATAAGCTCACCCCCTATGGGACTCATAACATAAATACTGGAAAGTGGTTGCATTGTACAGTAGCATAATGTACACCTCTGCCTACTCCTTCGAGGATAAAAGGCGTGATGTTATGTTATGTAAAAATGATGTGAGAATATCCCATACAATCTGTATAAAAATATGCTCGGAATTAATCGTGGAATCGACTTGAAATCTATATTGAACTCCATTAATTTTACACTACCGCTATATTATCATCAACTTATTCAGATATTATTGTGGAAACTGCTCTTTACCAAGTAAGTTATTTAAACGTGTATGTTGCACTTACTTGATAGGTGTGGTGGCCATCCTGCGCGCGCGCATGGCACGGTACCCGCGCTGTATCACCGTCGCAGCCGCATGCATTTGTTTCAGGTACGCAAACTGTTTGAACAAAATTATAATTCATGTATTAAGTAATTGGTTAGCACATTAAATTAATTGTTACATTTTCGGTTTACTTACGCTACACTTACAAAGTTATAGCATGTCTCTCGAAAGTTATAATTGAAACATGATTAGCATACTCTTGTTGTCATTGAAAGATAGTAAAAAAGGCAAAGGTATCCTTTCACAGATCACCAGCTTGAAGCGATGACATAATCTTCCTCAATTTTATCTGGTAAGGGCTAATATTTCAATCAGTTAATAAAATTGACATTTGTCAGTTTTTAGTATTGTACTTTTATATGGCAGTGTATAATGGCGGCGAGTATTGCAATAAAACAATATCTATCGGCTAACACGTCCGTTTATTGATGCTCTCTTTACAATACTGAATACAATACTGATGTACTGTAGGCACAGTATGGAAGAATTGTCAAATATTCAAAGTTATTCCTCAGTTAAAATGTATCTGACGTTAGAAAAATTGGCCTAATTGAGATTTCCTGATGCCAAACAACTTTTCGTGCATAAATTGCAATCGCAACTGTCGCTATTGTGGATGAAGCTATTATTGCAAGATTCTTCTTGCCAATAGTAATAAAAAGTTCTAGAAAGCTAACCTGTTTGTATCTCCGGTAACAGTTTTGTATGGTGATCGCGGCGGCCGCGGCTCTTCGCTGCAGCTGTCTGCCACGGTACTGGCGATATGCCTTCTGAATTGTAATGGCCGCGGAGTACAGTTCTCGTTGTTCACGATCTGTGAAAATTGGAGTAAGTTATACTAAACGTAAGAGTATGATGGTGGTTTTATTTTATAAAGGACCTTTTTTGAATTGAAATAGGACTTTATAGGACTATCAATAGAATATTTTTTAATACCTACCATAAATTATGCTATGCTCGTTATTTCTTAACAAATTAAAATATGGTTAATCCATGTGGCACATCGCTGTCATACAATATGGTTGTGTATCACCTCGAAGTGTGAATTGTTAACGAGTTTCAAAAATTATACTTTTAATAAAATCAGTTTAATTTTTTGTTGACGTTCAAAAGTGCCTTCCTGGTTTAATTGAAATAAATGATTCAACTTTAAAACCTTAGACATATTATTATCTACTAAGACTTTATGTCATCATGTCTTTGAACATAACATCATAAACATGACATCACGCCTTTTATCCCCGAAGGGGTAGGCAGCACATTATGCCACTGTACAATGTAACACCCACTTTTCACTATTTATGTTATGAGTCCCATGTAATAGGGGGTGAGCCTATTGCCATATACCGGGCACAATTCCAGACTCCGTGCTACTACTGAGATTTTTTTAAAACCCAGTAATACGACCCGGGAATCGAACTCGAGACCCCTTGCCCGGCAATCGCAATTGCGACCACTCGGCCAACGAGGCAGTAGTGTCTTTGAATGATGTCAAAAATAGCAAGCAGACACATGTATGCCTTTAATAATATTGACTAAATGAACCTAACTAAATAAAAAAAAAAACAAACTAATAAAAATAAATGACGCAGTTTCTTCAACAGACTCACCATTCAATGTAAGATTAGAGAAGTGCGTGGTAGCGTTGAGGAATTCTTGAAGAGTAGCAGAAGGAGTTGTACATAGAGGTGGGTGGGACAACGCAGACCGAGGTGATGGAGGAGGCGGAGACAGCGCTGCTGATCCAGGAGACACGGAACCTGACGAACAAGGAGTCGAACCTCCACAGTACCTAGGAAACAGACAGAAATAAGTAAAAATGCTTTCAAATAAGATAATTAAGAAACACAAGTACTGGTAAAAGCTAGTTCAAATGATGAAATATAAAAACCATTGATTTATTAAGTTTAGAAATTACAAAAATTGGGTTTATAAAGTCCATAAAGTAACTTGTATCATTTCATCATTTATTAAGTTTAGTGTATATTCTAAAAGATCTAAAATAAGATGGCTTTAAATCAGAATCTGCAACATCTTGAATTTTTGAACTTATATAGCGGTGAGTTGTATTTTTGAAGCCTGTGCCTTTTAAAAATTCTCGTTTATGCAACTCTTAATGAGTGACTATTTATAATTTGTAAATATGTACACTAAATGATTGTAGACAGAACTTAAAAATGATTTTACTTTCAAATTAACGTAAAACTCATAGTACATACGGCTGTTAAATCTGGTTTTTTATTTGTTTTAATAAATGTCCATTGTTTGAGAATGATATTATAATTGTTATTCGCTCCGTTAGGCAAGGTCTCATTAAATTATATAGAGCTGTAAAAAGGTAAAAAGGCAATGCTTTAAAAAGGTTAATATAATAATAAAAATGGTAAGATGTTATTTACAAAAGTTAAAGAGGCTGTTCTTTAATCTAAGGGCAAAGCAAATGAAAATTTCAAAATTTAAAAACCCAAACAAAATGATGTCGACCCGTGAACCAAAACTGAAATGATAAGCAACTTACAGTACTAAGAAACTTACCGTTATTCAATAAAGCAGGTCTAAAATACATAAAGCACTCAAAAGCATTATCTAAATGACTAAAAATTTTCAATAAAGTTGTGACAGATTTGTATGATCGACATGCTCCTGTTCGGAGGGTGAAAGTGAAACGTCCTCCTGCGCCTTGGATGACCAAGGGCATTCAAATGGCCATGCGACGCAGAGACCGTGCGTATCGAAGACACAAAAGGGTCCGCTCTGAGGAGAATTGGACAGCATTCAAGATTGCAAGGAATCGTTGCAACCAGATGGTACGCAATGCCAAACGCCGACATATTCTTGAAAATATTTCTTCATCCTCTCCTGCCAATATTTGGAAATTTTTGAAATCCCTGGGTATTGGCAGAACGCGTCATCCATACCTTTCTAACTCAATTAGTCCAGACGATCTCAATAAACATTTCTCCACCACTCCGTCTTTGGATAGTCTGACTAAAAATAGAACTGTCTCTTTCATTGCTGGTCTGGAGAGTCCTAAAGTCGATTGCTTTCGTTTTGTGCCTGTGGAGACGGCGGAGATCAAAAAGATTACCCTATCTATAAAGTCCAGGGCCGTTGGTTGTGATAACATCTCCCGCCACATGATCACAACAGTCATGGACCACCTATGCCCAGCCCTTACCCACATCGTAAACTTCTCCATGTTTTCCGGTTCTTTTCCTTCTGTGTGGCGGCTGGCCTTTGTTACGCCGCTTCCTAAGGTTTCCAATCCTACTCTCCCCACTCACTTCCGCCCCATTTCAATTCTTCCATTTCTCTCTAAGGTGCTTGAAGCTTGTGTACACAGGCAACTCTCATGCTTTATACTTAAGAACTCCCTACTTAGTCCCTTTCAATCTGGGTTTAGACCCGGACATAGCACCACATCCGCACTCCTTAAAGTGACTGGCGATGTGAGGACAGGTCTGGAGGATACTAAGATCACTGTGCTGGTGTTGGTTGACTTCTCTAACGCCTTCAACATGGTCAGTCACGATATCCTTCTAGCTATCCTGTCTCATCTTATGGTCTCCGACGATACTCTACTTTGGTTCTCTTCTTATCTTCAGGGGCGACAGCAAAAGGTTCAGGTCGATGATGCTTCATCAGGCTGGTGTACTCTGGATGCTGGCGTCCCTCAAGGCGGTATACTCTCTCCTCTCTTGTTTTCACTCTTCATCAATCTCCTTAGTACTGAGTTTCAATGTGCGTATCATCTGTACGCTGATGACTTGCAATTGTACTGTCAAGCCAGCAAGGAAAATTTAGCGGATGCAATTGATAGGCTTAATGTGGATCTTGAGGCCATCAAAAATTGGTCCGATAGGTTTGGGATAGCCGTTAATCCAAACAAATGCCAGGCGATAGTCATCGGCAGCTCACGGATGCTGTCCAAAATCAATAAACGTATCCTTCCCCCTGTACTATTTGACGGTGCTGTCATTCCTTACAGCGACGATGTGAAAGATCTCGGTCTGCACATCGATAGCACCCTCAGTTGGCGGGCGCAGGTCACTAACGTATGCAAAAAAGTCACGGGGTCGTTACGGTCTCTGTATCGCCTCAAAAATTTTCTCCCGTCCTACGTGAAGGCGATGCTTGTGCAATCATTGATATTCCCCATTATTGACTATGGTGATGTTTGTTACTACGACCTGAATGCAGATCTACTCAATAAGCTTGACCGACTTTTAAATAACTGCATTCGATTCGTTTTCAACCTGCGTAAATATGATCATGTTTCTGCACATCAGCTGCAATTAAAGTGGTTGCCCATACGCCAACGCAGGGAGCAAAGGGCTCTAACCACTTTGTACTCCTTTCTTGACTCCCCCTTTTCTCCTAGCTATCTATCCACCTACTTTCAATACACCAGTGCAAACCACAATAAATATCTTCGATCTTCCAACAATCGTCATCTTCAATGTCTTAGTCATCGCTCTGATTTTCTTCATTCTTCATATTTCATACAATCTGTGATTCTATGGAATGCGCTACCCACGGAGATTAGGATGGCCACCAGTCGCTTATCTTTCAAAACCAAGGTTCGCGAGCATTTACAAAAAAAACTGGCAGATTCGATTCAAACATAAGTTGTCTCTTATTATGTTATTTAGTTTTTACCTGGGTATGTATGTATGTATGTATGTATGTATGTATGTATGTATGTATGTATGTGTACATGTATATGTATGACTATATATAAAAGTATCTAAGTACTTAAGTATTTATATATAGTTATTTATTTGCCACATTTGCTTAGTCACCTGCCACTTTCATCTCTGCACCACCTTAAGGTCGACTGTGAGACAATGCCCAAGGCATTAAGTCCGCCTGTACATTTATTTTTGTACTAAGTCTTAAATAAATAAAATAAAATACTTGGAAATTCGAAAAAAAAACCCCAACCTATAATAGTTGAAGCTGAAGTCGGAGCTAATGTTGCTGTTGATGCCGTCCAGGGGAAGGAAGAAGAAAAGGTCAAGAAGATAGAAGAAGGAGAAATGTAACCTTTTGACCGCCAGTCACTTACAGACAAAATATTAAAACGCACCCAGCACATCATAGTCTTACCTAACTGAATTTTAGAATAAAAAGACACGTTCATTCATTTACAAAACATAATTATTTTGTTTATTTTCTTTGTAAGTCTTTGATTGCTCAAATAAAAACCATTGATGGCACAACTTACAGTGTAATTCGTCTTTAAGATTTTATCAGCAGATCAAAATAATAAGACGACAAAAATAATAAAGACGAGTGCTGGAAGACGCTTATCCTTTTTTGACTTGACGATCAAAAGGTAAAAGGAGATCACAACATCGATAAAGCATTCCTAGAAAAGGAAGATGACGTACCTGTAAGTGTTGTCACAGAACTCAAAGGTGAAGTCACTGTTGAATGTGGTGTTCTCGTCCAGGAGTGGCACCATAAGTGTGTCTTCTCCGCTTCCTCCGCCGCTGTCTAAGCCGCACGCCGATAGCAGAGATGTGCTTTCGTTCTAAGAGACACAAAATTCTAAATTAGACTTGAATAATAAACAGATAAAAAATATGTAGATAATTGACTCAATGCTATATTACTATAAACATTAATAAATTATCGAAAGAAAGTCCAGTTAAATTTAATCCAACAATCGAAAACTCACTTTGCTACGTTTTTTAAATTGACTTAATACTCAGATTTTTCGCATTCAAAAAGCTTATTAGGTACTTTGTTCGATTAAACAATGAGATTTAGAATAGAATCAGACGTTGATTTGTGGATTTGCATCGCAATGCATCCGTTTTAAAAAAAAACCTTCAGAGGAATAAAATCAAAATATTTTCCCAGTTGTTAGTACATAATGAGAGTCCCATTTCTCGATTTCAAAGATCTATAAGCTGAAGACACACAATAACCAAAATCAAGAAGTACCTATTGAAAAATATGATTACCTTTATCCTCTCTGGCATGGCGGCAATGATTTGCTCCGCCAGCGTGAACACCCGGTCATCCTGCTCCCCTGAAAATTATTTGGTGAAGTGGTACCTTATGATATTAACTTACAACATTGAATAACCTAACCTAACTAAGCATACAAACATGATGTAGCAATAATCCTGTCTTCAAACGAATTCAGATCGATTTGACAAACAATTATGGTCTCTGACAAATTCGTCTTAAGACTGGTTTTAGACAAATCATGACGAGTACTAAAGTCAATGACGAATCAATTTTTCCAATGAAATCAAAATTTTTAACAATACTCTCATGATTTGCATTTCAATCAACGTTTTTAGCAAATGGATGAATATTACAATTTATTATAACTTTTAATAATATTCATACATTTTTTTATTCTACACACATATATAAATAATATTATTTAAAATACTTATATTAAATGAAATGGTGTTTCTTAGGTAATGTTACATCATATTATTATGTTTAATCGATAACATCATGTACTCATCTGTAGAAATAATTAAGGACAAATATTTAAAAAAGGATTATTTTGGATAACATTCGGGTGATAAAACATGTCAGTGCGTTGCTAAACGTCTATCATATTATATCAAAAAATACTTCATGTGAATTACATTATAATCCTTAATGTTACATATTACGTACTTGTTTCTTTAATTTTATTGAGACTCATTTTACAAAAATACGAGAAACAATCATTCCATAAAAAAAAATTGTTACGTACTGCGAATCTGTAGAACACAGATCGAGATTTAGAAACAATAAAATTGGTTAGTGTACCTATTAATATTCTTAATCTAAATGAACAGTTGGGGTTAACAAAAATGAATTGAAGATAGAAAAAATAATAAAAGGTGTAATGAGACAACAGTGCACGATAAACCTGATGCCAAAGAACTTACCTGAGACAATGGCAACAGTAACCAACTACACATAAAAAGCACCTAATTACTCATGCAAGCGTTTAGCATTCATGCAGTGTAGTAAATTGTCACGTTTTTTTGAAAACAAGTGTACTGACTGGACAACGTAGTCTTGTGTACTGAAATTGAAGGTAGAAGCCAATCGATTTGGTTGTGATAGTGATAGTGGATAGACCAATACGAACCACTGAAAGCGACATCGAGGGACAACATCGAGTAAACTAAACCGAACTTTATGCCTTTAGTTATAATGGTCCTATTGATCTCTTTGGTTTGACACATCTGCTTAGATACTAACTTTGTTATAAAACTCGGTTTAGTTCAGGATACTACAGACAACAAACACTCAAGGGAAAACTCCGCTCATATTGGAACACAAAGTACAGAAGAAACTACAAGTGGTCTACCGACATACAGTGAACAAGGACTACAGACTGGCGACAAAGAGGGAGACAAAGATATATAGACAACTTTTGTTAGAAGAAGAGGGAGGCAATGCAACTACTACATACACAACATCGACAGATAGGACGAGCGGAGTTATCGATGCTGCGACTCGAAATGGTATAGAACTTTTACGGAAAGTAAAAAATTGCCAATAGGAAGACAGGATAGTTGAAACATTTGAAGAAATGTAATTTGAAGCCAATTCGGTTGATCGTAATCTGTTTTTGTTAATTTGGAATAATGAAACAGAAATTTTGGACCAAATAAAAAATTTAATGCCGATTTTCCATTTATCTTCCTTGGTATCGAAGGTTTACACATTAATTTTGGGATTTGTAATTTTTCCAAAATTAATGATAGCGACCCATTTAGTGGGGTCGTCATTGTCAGAATTTAGTAGGTATTTTAGTTTGAGGTGCAGTCTATACCGTTTCTGTGCGCGCCGGCACTGACCTGCGGGGCGCGGGCGAGCGGCGGGCGGGCTGGCGGCGTCGTGGTCGGACAGCGCCTCCACGTCAATGAGCGGGCTGGCGGCGCGCCGCGGCGCCGTCTCGCCTGCGGAACCACCCCCTCAACATACCGCTAAGCCGCTACTCAGCCTTACCGGTCAAACGACGTGAGCCTACTGACGTCTTCATGTTCAAATCACTTACATGAACGAAATCAAATGCTTTCAAAATGGACGTGCTCTCTAAACTTATGCTTATCTCGTAATCTGAAAAGAAGGAAGGGAAGCTACGAACTAAATGTCTGAATCTAATTTTACTAATTCGTTTTTTTACTCTGTGAACCATAGATGATTTGTATTTTACTTTGAGTTCAGGAATTCTTCGTTATTAAAATTAAATTAAAAAATAGGAACTTTAATCAGCATTTCAATCAACTAGGAAACTAGCAGGTTACAAACGTTGTAAACCGTCACAATCCCGCAGTGTAGTACTCACACGTTTGACCAGTTACATCGCCGAACAAACCATCACCGTTTTAAAGGAAACATTGACGAAAACCCGAAACCAAGGTTAGGACCTTCAAATGTCATCAGCTGCCGTGCCGATATAAAATAACCAGCAAATGAAAAACGAATCGACTATGAATGAGGCGAAGTGGTTCAAAGACTTACAGAGAGCCAGGTCCATACGTCTGCCAATCTTGGAATCTCCAAGACTATCTTCTGATGTATCTGAATCTAAAGGTAGCGACATGCTTCGTTCCCATCTGTAAATGTTAGGATTTTGGAAAATTATAATGGCGGTACCTTTTGTTGATCCTTTTAATAAAGCCATAGAATTGTTATTGTTAAAGATTAATTTCATCAACATTTTGTTAGTATAGGCATATCACTTGCATCTTTAGACAATGATTGAAGATTACTAGAATCACAGGCATGCAGAACTAAACACCGTCTACTAAATGTATATGGTCACCTGGCGGAGGAACTGCTCTCTGATTTGTCAATAGCAGAACTAGATCTAAACGCGTCGGCCATGTTGATTCCAGAGTCTATTGACGGCCTCTTCACCAGGTTGCTCTCCAAACTACCAGCACGGCTCTTTTGTGATAAACTAGAATTACAAAAAACATTAATTTGTAGCATTAGATCTACTATCATATATGTGTCTTGCTGTTGAGATCAAACTGAGATTTTCTCCTGAGTCATGCAGATTCACATACATAAAGAGTCGTTCCACGTCACACACATCCATTGCACATTAGACTGTTGCACAGCCACTATGGCAACCGGTCAGTCAGTTCTAGTTTTTAGCTTCGAACATGTCTATGCAGTGCAGGCAGTGGGCTCGCTGCCATTGCAGCGGTAAGTCCCCTCTTTGAGGAGTGGCTTGAGAGACGCTACGGCGTCCTCACCTACCGCCTGACGCAGGTCCTCACCGGACATGGAAGTTTCGGGAGGTACCTGTGTCTGATGGGGCGGGAGGAAACGCCCGGGTGTCATCACTGCGAGGACCGCCCTGAGGACACGGTGGAACACACAGTGGGAGAATGCCCTTCGTGGGCTGAGCACCGCTGTGCTCTCAGGGAAGTGATCGGCGATGGCGACCTCTCGCGTCCGGTCCTAGTGCGGGCCATGATGCGGAGCGAGGGGGATTGGGATGCCGTCTCCTCCTTTTGCGAAGCAGTCATGCTAGCTAAGGAGGAGGCGGGACGCGTGAGGCAGCGAAGCGCTGCCTCCTCGCAACCCAGCCATCGCGAAGGACACACCGGGCGTCGGGGATCGCGAGACGATCTCCGGCCACCGTCAGCGCGGGCCTGCGGACATAGAGCATGGGTGGCTCCCCGTCCGACCGTCCGTCCGACGAATTGTTTCTTGTCTTACCTGTGTGGCCTAAGAAAGACTCCATCTTTAGCAGGCGGGTGTATCCTGTCCAGCAAGGCCGCGAGCTGTGAGTGGCCGGCGCGGCGCGCGGCGGCGGCGGCGGCCCGCGCGCCCGCCTCGCGCCGCGTGCCCGCGCTCCACCGCGCCAGCACCACGGCCGTCTCCACGTGGCCGGCTGCACTAGCCACCATCTGGAATGATAGAATAGACATTTAGATAACTAATTACTAGTTTATACCTATTTTTTATATTAAATAATGACATCACTTCACGAATCGACGAGCTTCAAAATAAATCTGTATTACGTTCCCCCCGTTAAAATAATTCTGTATCCCCTAAGGGGTAGGCAGAGGTATACATTATGCCATTGTAAAATGTAACACGCACGTTTCATAACATAACATAACA